AAATACTGATTAGCTGAATGCATTTTTAATGAATCTGTCTGTTAGACATCAATGCTAGATTTAATATTCATTGCATCTAATGTTTTTATAAAACATAATCATAAATGTCCAAGAAAAAAAAATGCCTTTCTGAACATTTAAAATCTAAGAAACAAGTAAAGGTTTATTCCATGCTGAAAGGAAAAGGAAAGAGACACAACGTTTCGGCTTTTTCACACCTGAAGAGGGCTTTACAAACCTGAAGCCGAAATGTCTTTTTTTCTTTTCCTTTTAGCATGGAATAAATCTTTACCTGTTGCTTTGCTTTGCATGCTGAGACCGCCACCAGCTCAAACTATTTATGATAAATGTGATCCATTTCCTCATAAAAAAAACTTCTTTTCCAGGGGTTTGTGGTTGCAGTTCTCTACTGCTTCCTTAATGGGGAGGTAAGTTCAGTTTTTCCCTATATTTTTCGTACTTAAAACACAGATCCTTTGGAAATTGAACTTATTCATCAATATAGATTTGTAATAACCCAGATGACGTGTTCCACTAACAGACACTAATGTAGAGTCCCAATTTTTATATTGACAAGAACACTAATTTTTGTTCCTTTTGTACCTATCAAAAATATTTTGAATTTTTCCAATAGTATTGAAAATAGAGAACTAGCATTTCAATTGGTTATGCACAATAGCGTTTATTTGTCATTTGTGTTTAGTGAAAAGTGTTTCTTCGCTTGCAGAATCCGAGTGATTCCCTGTGAAGCAGAATTTAGCCTGTCTGTGTGGAATGACTGAGTGTGGATTCAGCACAAGACGTGAAGCACAATGCCTTTGCTAGCTAGCAAGCAGTACAGGCTGCTCTCCTTCCATTTGCCCAAACAAAAACTGCTGACGAAGTTTAATTTATGTTGGTTTAACTTCATAATTGTCAAAAACAATTTCCCAGTGTGAGACCTGGAAAGTGATTAATTCGTAATCACCTATTTCAGTAATTACATGTTGTGTTCCTTGTTTGTGACTCCTGCTGGGGAGGTGGGAGTGTGTATTTAGAAGATACTTCCCGGCACAAAGGCTTTTCTCCCGTTCATTCATCAAAGGTGTCAACACGTCAGCGTGGGAATCTGTTGTTGCGTTTTCTGCAGGATTCCACTCTTAGTCTTAATCACTCTCCTGCTTAGTAAATTGGCTGTAAAAGCTGGATTGTTATTCATCATTGTTCTGCACAAAAGCGTTTCAGGATTCATTAAGCCTTGAAAAGGCATGTCAGAGTGGGTAATGAGCTCTTTTTTGCAGAAAATTGTGCTTTTTCCAAAGCAATCAGTCTAACTGGCCCACAAAAGTGATTCAGCGGTGGTAAACAAATACAGACACATTAAGCATTTCTGTGCCATGCAAACCAGGGGTTTCTCCCCTATGCACAGTACCAGCAGCAGACTGCACGCCTCGAAGTTGTGTTTCTGTCATAAAACCTTTGGCAAAACTCACATAAAACATTGCGTGCTTCATTTTTGTTTTATTGCCTTGGATGTGGCTTTATATTATTGTAATGTGCTGTAACACTTGTGTTTCTCCCCCACTCCCCCACTAGATAAAGAAACCAGATAAAGAAAATGGTTTAGACAAAATATGACGATTTATCTGTACAGTCCTGTTTCATTATAGTACTGTAGTTTTTGTTAAAGCAATGAAAATAGTACATAAAGAGGGTCTTCCCATAACCTCCCATCATACTGCCACTGGCAGGGGAGGATATAACCCTTCAGCTGAACAGGGCCTCACCAGGCCTATCTTATTAGCACAGCAGACAGTGAAAATCTGTGTCTGTTCTCTATCAAGTCTCTATCTAGGATCTACACTGAGGAAGATGGATTGTTTTTGACAAAGAGTGTTTTTATCTGGGCTGACAGTCTTATCCAGAGTGTTGCAGATTTGCACCTGTTTTCCTGCAGCGAACTGAATGAAGTACCTCGCTGAACAGCATTCGAACCCCCAGCTTTCCTGTTCTGTGTGGGTCTAGAGCCCTGACCACCTCCCCTCTCTTGCATCTGTTTCATCTTCTGTCCACACGAAACCTTCAGCGGTGGGGTTCGTGCGCTGCAGTCCTGAAACACCCTGAAATGGAAATGCAGTGAAACCTGCAGGGTGCTGCTCAGCCGCCGGCTGCAGTGGACACCCGGCAGTGTTTTAAAGGTGCCTTTGCCTGTCTCGCTGCTGCCCCAGGTGCAGTACGAGATCCAGAGGAAGAGGAGGAGGAGGACCCTGCAGCAGTGCCTGCGGGACGAGCCCAGGCCCAACCACAGCTCCATCAGCCACAGCGGGGCGGCGCCGACGCAGGTCTCGCTGCTGACCCGGGAGCAGAGGAACCCCAGCCACTGCGAGTCCAGCCTGGCCTGAGCCTGGCAGACGGGCAGGAGCCCAGCAGGGGGCGCTGGCGGTCGGTGTGGACGACGCCGTGACACCGGTGCACCAAGCTCTGTTTGAAAAGAGCCGGCAGTGACTGTGACTTCAAGCAGCTCGGTGAGCTTCATTAAAGACTGCAAAGAGCAATAAGAGTCTGCAATACGTGGAACTATATCAGTTCAGCTGAAGGAAATATATCAGTTTTAATAAACCAAACATTTCTTTGAGAGGGTCGGTGGCAAAGCTGTGCGGATGACTTTGCAAGAGAGGCAGGTTAAAAAACTTACAGTAATAGAAGCAGTTGTGAATCCAGAATATAGTCACTTTGTTCTAATCTTGCAGAGCATGCCAATGGTTCTCTAGGGCACTAGCACCATGCCTGTCTTGGACAGTCTGAACTGAGCTGCATGCTCGTGCAGATATTACTGTCAATTGGAGAGTTTGCAGCCGTATTCGTAACCACGCACTGTAAACGTTCGCTTTGCAACTTGGATAATACTTCTTCGGTACCCACCAGCCTAATTCTCAAAAGCTGACGAGTGCACCAAACCATAAGAGGGTTAATCATAACACAGGGGAATTTCACATCCGCTGCACTGCAAATTGGGTACGAACCTCGCTTTCAATGTTTGAACAGGGGAAGGTTTAATTTCGGATGGGAATAGCAGCTGATTTGATTCCAGCAGCCTTCAGTGTTTGATGATGTATTAGAGAAGCCCTGAAAACTGTACAGAGGCTGGACACTGTCAGAGGTCACTGTGAGGCTGTTGTGGTGAAGATCTTGCCAGGCCTCTGTGCGTGTTCAGGTTAGCAGGCTCCTGAGCTGAGCTCTTACCTCGCAGATGACCGAATGGAAGGCATGCAAACAATGGAGACAGAGCCAGATGTTTCTGTCGCAGTTAATTAAATCAATATATTAATTCAATGTTTATTTTTAAGTTGCAGATCAATAATGTGTAGTGTTTCTTCGGTCTTTCGTTTCCTTTTGCACACTGATGTTGCATTTCAGGTGTGAACGGCCACAATTTTACCTGTGTGATAATCGTACGAGTAGGAAAATCTTTGCAGTGGATGTCCTCAACCAGCTTTCAAGACGCTGTAAATGCTTTTCAGTTTATTGAAAGGTGCAGATCTTCTAAATGTAAAATTTCAGCGTCTACTAAATCATCAGTGGTGAGAGACGTTTTCTGCTTATTATGTAAGTTGCTAAAAACTGAGGTGTTTGCGCAGCTGATGATAACTGAACTAAGAAATGGAGCTTACAGACTCTGCTAGCACCGTTACCGAAGAGATATGTGCACTTCAAATTGAAGTCCAGGTGATAATGCTGTAAATGCATCCTTTCTCACTAAATTAAATTCCTGTTCTTTATTGTACTACCTGCCTTGTAAATATTTATTGGTCTGTTTCATGATAGCTAGTCTTTGGTGTAGTAACGATCTGACACGCCCACAGGTGAAAGCAATCAGCTCTTGTCCTTTGAGGTGGTGGGAGGTGGAGCTACGAAGGACTTAAAAAAAAAAAACTTTAAAAAAAGCTGCTCAAAGATTCAGACTCAGAGAGGAATGGGTTTTTTTGTTTGTTTTGTGGAGATACTCTCCGTGTCATCCCTGACAAATGTGGAAAAAGTGTGAATAATTTTAAAAGCCAAAAAAAAATATTGAAAGGGATCAAGGAACAAAAAAGTCCTGTTTGTCCAGTTTTTCCAAAACTCGCACTCAGCTTGTGGATGCTAATAAAAACGTTCATTGCTTTGTCATATCCGTGTTTAGTCTTCCATTATGGAACCGATTTAGGTGATAAAGTTGTTTATGATCTTTTATAGGACTTGGGGAAAAGCTTTAAAAACAGAACACTGTCTATTAGACACTCTGCTAAGTGTTATTCCCTGATGCAGCGTCACTTTTTAATACCGTGTGGACCATTAAGGAAGGCATAAACAAGATCATGACCGCAGCCCCACCAAGGACAGGGAGATGGAAATCAACCTTTGAAAAGATGATAAAAGCAACCAAGAGATGTGCATTGGGCGAATACTGCACTGGGGAAAATATAACAACTGTGCACATCATAAACCCACTTTATGAAGAAAAATAAAATACTAAATGAGAAAATAAAAAACCTAAAAATAGATTGAATACATAAGCCTGTAAGACTGTTGATATGAGCATATAAAAAAAGGTTACAAAGGTTACAAATGAGAGGACAACGTTTGGCCCAACTAACTTGTTTGTTTGCTGGTAGCTCGTACAACACTGTGTTCTCTCAAAAAACCTGTTTGAAATGCACTTACGCGCTGTCTCCACTTGTGTGCTGTGGTGAAGTCTGATGGGTTGACTCTGTCAAAGTCCTGGAGGATTTTAAATATTGAATCAGGTCTTTTTGTGGGTAACTCTATTTGAGACTAAAAGGTTTTAGCCTTTCAGAACAGAACCTTATTTTGCTATATGGTGACAAACATTCTAAGTGAGGCCTAACTACTACAATTATTTGAAATACTATACTGTTGACTCTGTATCCACTTAAAGTCTAGATGAAGATAATGTGTCACTTAGCTTCTTCAAGTTAAGGATTTTCCATTTATCATGTTTTTTCCTACCTGCAGCATGTGTAATAGTCAGCTTTTGTTTACATTAAATGACAGGTGTTTGCCCAGTCCTTCATTTTAATGTCTCAAGTGTTTTTTTTCCACCTGCTGCTTCTACAGCATTTGATAAAGCCCTGTATTATCATCTGTAAACTCAGCTTGTTCAATCACTATACCAAAATCTAGATCATGAATATGAATTAGAAAGAGCAGTGGCCCTAATTTAGACCCTTGTGTTACTCCACTAATTGCATCACCCCATTTTAAATTCTCACCACTTATCTGTTTCCTACCCATTGACCATCTTACAATCCAAATCTTACTTTTAAGGCAATTACTGTGCTTCAGACAGAATATCTTTAAAATCTTGCTTATTGCCTCCTGATTCCATTTCTGTTAATTCCTATTCTCTCTCTCTTAAAGTTAGAATATTTAGGTATTTTAGCACTGACTTGAGCTCCTGCTAAAAGGGTTTTATTGATGGTCTACAGTACGTGTACTATTGCCAGTTTCTTCATGTAGAATTGGCAGACTTCCATTTATTATCTCTGGTTATTATCTCTGCTTTAGTGTTCTGTTGTAATTTAAAAAAAAAAACTGTAATGATTTACTCGAGATTCCGTTGATGTACTTAAAGGCAAAACATGTTTTCATCCCTCCATTTTGATGTTTGGAAAGCCTAGGTCAGTGCAGGCATCACTACCTGTACGCTTTCTGACTTTCTGAGTGAAGAAACTGTCTTAACCCAAGTCAACTATTTCAGTTTCACATCTCTGATGGTTATTCCAGATGTTTTGAAGAAAATTAAATTCTCCCATGCTAATTACTTCTTTGTACACATACGTTTTTGACTTCATTATATAAGATGCCATTATAATTCTGAGTCTGTAGAATTGTATATATATATAATTCTGAGACTATCCAGTCTGAATCTGGGGTCTGTAGCACACTCTTACACAATGCCCATTGAGCGTATTTCTATGTCTGACCTACTGTATATAGATTCTGAGACACCTAATTAATCAGGGTTAGGTTGCAGTGCCTGAAGGCTCTTTTCAATGTATTGTGCTAAACCTCCACCTCTTCCTGTCTCTCCAGAAATCTATATCCAGAAATCCTGTATGCTTCACCATCACTCTCTCTGAGCCATGTGTCAGTGATTCTACATACATCATAAACACATGCTAATGTTTCCCATTGGCCCTTACCAATCATGGCCTCCTAATAATTCCCCTCTATGAATTGGCTTCATTACTCTGCTCTCCTCCCCACTAATAGCTGATGTTGTGGTGAGCGTTCTGGCAAACGCTCTCCGGCAAACGTTCTGGCAAAAGCACTATGGCTGCCGTCGCATCATCCAGGTGGGGCTGCACATTGGTGGTGGTTGAGGGGAGTCCCTATTACCTGTAAAGTGCTTTGAGTGGAGTGTCCAGAAAAGCACTATATAAGTGTAAGCAATTATTATTATTATAATAATGTGGTACCAACAATTTCTGCCATTCCCAGCATTTAGGTATGAATGCTGAACTTCTCCTGATTTTTCCTCTTTTCCAGTTTTTCACAAAATGTTTCCTTTGGTTTTTCTTTTTGTCACTATTTCTAGACACCGCCACACACTCTCACACCAGGGTCAGTTTTCCTAGAAGCTAATTAACCTACTGTACCAGCATGTCATTGGAGTGAGACCCAGGGACAGACAGCGGACAGACAAGAAGGAAAAGGCCTCACTTGACCTTCAGCATCAGAGACACCGAGGAAACAATTGTATTGCTGGACAATGCTCACAAAGATGTATAAACCCAACAAAAATATTTATTAAGTAAAAAAGATTTACTGAAATAAAGGAAAATGGGACAGTCTTGACAAACAAAACTCCTGGTGAGTTAAGAAAATAACATTAAAATCTTTAAATTCCTGACTGTACTGTTCAGGTGTGGCTCACTGAAGTAGAAAAAGAACAAGTTGTTTGTTCATGTGGTGCAGTTTTAACCTGTACGAAATGTAAAAACTTAAAGAAATTAAAAGACAATACAATACAATCTCTTCTAACATTTGCCTTAAATGACAGGCTTTAACAAAAATCTGGCCATTTCCTGAATCTGTGAAACGGGTATTTACCTTCAAACCTCAACTATTTGAAACCAAGCTATAAAGGCAATATCTTTATTCTGAATGTATTCATCTGTTCTAACAAATACAGAAGGCAGCTTCAGTTACAATGCCCATCAGTATTTACAGTATGTATTACTTGCCACATTGGGACACAATCTTAGAAAATGTCCTCACAAGGATAATAACTCCCGACAACCAGAAGACATCCCTGCAGTGCAAATGGCTCTGTTCCCAAACCACATGGCACCTGCTTTTAAGTCTGAAAGTGTCAAGGAAAATCCTTGTTATCTGAGCCGAGTCTGGAACAGTGAAAAGGCTATTGATGAGAGTCAACAGGAAGTCCCCACAAAGAGAAGTAACAGGCATATAATGTGATACACTGCCATGCGGACACGACTTGCTATCAGATCCCACCTAGACAGCGGCCCTCTTAGACTGTGTGACCGTACTGTACGTGGATGTTTGCCCTGAATCCAGAAAGAAGGTGGAATCTCATCCTAAGATTTTCCCGGCGTTCCCCACTGGCAGCAGGACCATGCTGTGGATGTGATGTCCGCTCATGCCGTTCAGGAAGAAGAGGAACGCTGCTGTGAACTGACACCAGAATGTCAGGCTGAAGCCCAGGAGACTGGCGTAGCTCCACAGCAGGGCGACGAACCCCAGCAGCCCTGACGCCGACAGCGTGAAAGACAGGAGGACGAGCGCGGATCCTACGGACCACCTCTTCCGGGAGTCCTGGTCCTCACACACCTGAGACATGACCAGCAGCTCCAGGCCGAAGATGGCCGCCACCACGCTGAAGGACACCACGGACCTGCACAAGACCAGCCCGACAGGCAGGGAGTCTACGCCAGCCTCCCCGAGATCCGTCGTGCAGTTGGGCAGAGACTTATCCTCCAGGGTACAGAAGTGCCAAAGTCCAAACATCTTGCCCTCGGCCAGCAGCCAGTGTCCATCGCACACGGCTATGGAGGACAGCACGATGGCGAAGGCCGTGCAGAGGATTATCAGGCTCCGGGTGAAAATCTCGAGGAACGGCGGTTTAGGTTTGCTGTAGAAATGCACACTTCCTGCCTGATAAGAAAAAAGTTAATTTCTGTTAAAGATTTCATGCTAATTTGATTAGTACACTATGTATATTACTATTTTATAATTTAATAAACCACACATGCTAGCTGCTAACCAAGCATTTGAAATATTTAATAATAATTACAATACATCTTCCTTCCTCCTACAGCCCAATGATATACTGCTTCTGGGAAAACTGGAAGTAGGTGGGTGTGTCTGTGGCCATGTGACGGACTGGCGTCCTGTCCAGGGCGTACCCTCCCCTGCGCCCCGTTGCTTGCTGGGATAGGCTCCAGCTCCCCCATGACTCTGAAGTGGATGAAATGGTTAGAAAGTGGATAAATGGATAATTCAATGAAAGCTGGACTTGTATTGGTGTTTACAAGAGATGGTGTTTTATCTGTAAGGCTGCCACATAGCGGTGAGAAATCTACCAATATACCACTCTTAGACGCTATATGAAACTGTACACTAATTATTCTAGCGATATTTCAAACATAATTCTGTCTACCGAGATAACCAGAGTGTCACATAAGAGGAATTTTACAAAACATTAAAATAAAACATTTAAAACGTTTTTAGGATGGTTGGGAAGAAAATGCAAGAAAACTCTAAAAAAACAAAATCGCACAGCTTTCGTATTTATTCTCTTAATTGTGTGTTGAAACAGAGAACACAGGGAAAAACTGGCCAAAGTGAACTGTAAAGAATACACATCATGAAACAAAAAATACATCACAAACACGTATATGTTTAATTCACAATTCTTAAAATCATTAGGTTTTTTTCCTTTTTGGAAATATAACTAGATGAGAAAGGTATTTACAGTAATAGGCTAAATAACTGTCCAGTGAGAATTATAGTATAGCTTTGCATTAAAACAAATTATAGAATAAAGAATTGACATTCTCTTTTCATATGTTCCTTGTAACTGGGAACAGAATTTAAAAATATATATTTTTGCTTCATTTTATGCATTTATTAACAGTTATTTATGCAACTCAACACTACTAGTGTTAAGAAAAATTTTATTAAATCCAACATATATATTACAGATTCCTAAAGGTCTTGGAATTGAACATTAAGCACATTGAGACGGTATTTGTCCACAACTGGACAAAGAAATACATTTTAGTTACAAAAATATTTTGCATATTTAGACCCTAAAAACAATATTCTTTAGCCATTGAGTACTCCCAAACTAATGTATATAACAAGAAAATTAGAAAGATTGCATTACCTTAATCTTTATAGCAGTCATGGTGGAGTTTTCTTAAATCTAGAACTGTTCTCTTATTCAGGAAAGCACAGAAGAAAAACTGTAAATGAGATTAGTTAAATGAGTCAAAGGTTCAGCGATAGACAGACTTTTAGTGTATGATTAACAAACATTGTAAAGACAATGAAAGTTTATAGCTAAGTCGGAACGCCATGGAAGAACATTTTCCTTCTGCTGAATCAGCAGGAAAGAACATTGTTTTTTTCTGGCCTGTTGGGAAACTGATCACGAAGCAGTTTTGAGGACAAAAGTAAAGGGGGCTGGTCTGGATGGAGGAGGGAACTCTGTGTTACTGCTAACAGCAGATCTTTTTTCTTTTGTTAGCGTCTCAGTGATTTGCAGGACATGTCTGTTGTCTGGGGGATCGGTTTCTCTGTCTGCTAGCTGTGATTTATTCTCTGGTCATTCATGCACCAAGCTCTTTATAACTGCACCCATAAGAAGGCTGAGATTCATGCTTTCGCTCATTATCAGCCACGCATCATCGTGGTTGGTTTATTACCCAAGTGCTGAGTTTAAAGGTACAACTGACAGCAGCATTAAACAAGGATGGGATTGGTCAGTACTGGGGTTTCTGCTGTAATGGTGTTGGTGGGCCTGTAGGTGGCACTCTTTCCCCAGACCAGATTTTCCAAACCAATGTGCTAGTGTGGTGACTGAAGACTCTTTGCTGTACGATGTACCGTTCTTCAAACGAAATGTTAAAATAAGGTGAAACTAATAATCTACTTGATTATTAAGGTCCCAGGATACTGTTTGCAGGTCTAGGGGACTTAACTAAATTTCACTCTGGGCATGTACAATCCCCCTTATTTCACCCTGTGACCATGTTTCTCACTTGTCCCCTTGAGTGAGGCAGTGGGGCTGCAGGTACAGAGGGGCCGCTGTGTGCCACCAGGTTGGTGGTGATATAATTAGTCAGTGATGACTAAAGTGGTTCCCCATCTATATGAAAAGTGCTCCAGCATCCTCTGGAATTCAACCCAATTAAATATCAGGAATTAATAGTGGAGACAATCTGGAAACAAGTAATTGAGAAAAATTAAAACATTGCACTGTTCAATAATGTCAGCCGAAGTCATGTGCCCATACTTCACACATGAAGTCCAATCGCACACACACACACAGTTTCCCAAAACGTTAAAGAAAAAAAAACAGGAAACATCTTGAGGCCAACGCTCAGTTTTAAAACTATCACATTTTGTTTTGTAGCTCCTGCAAAGGAAAGAGCACCAGATTCATTTCACTGTTCACACTGTTGCAGTGATACTGATTTAAAAAAATATAACATCAGAGAGACAGCTGTGCAGCAGATTAAAAGTGCCAGCACAGTCCAATTTTAACAAACTATGAGCAGTGTAAATAGTCAACTATACAACTACGAATGTTCACTTTCTGATCAATATCAAACAGTCGTAGTAAGGATTTATGTATGGATTTAATAAACTGGATGCATTCACCAAACATTCCTGCGGGAACACACTTTTCCAGCATTCCATTTATAGCTGGTTGATGTAACCTAGTGACATCTCCTGGGAGCAGAGTCACTTTGTAAGGTGTGGGAAGGCGATTTGCATGATTTCCCCTTGCGCACAAGCTTCTTCTCTGCCCCACTACACAAAGATGATGTTTCCTGATGCCGAAAAATGTTGTGTGTGTAACAGTGGTTTGCATCACATTTAATCCACAAAAGAGAGCAGATTCAGCCTGCCTTGCTTGTTTGGGCACTGGCAATTCAGATTTTCTTCCCGTGAAGTCTCGCAGAGTCCGTTTCTACAACATGACGAAGGTCCCTACATTTCCTGTTATAAAGGAGCATCTGCCACTTTCTTTGCTGACTGCTGACTGTGCTAAAACTAAGCATTTAGGGAAAGTTACAAAGGTTATCTTGTTGCTCTACTGTGGACTGATTCCAAGAGCAGCAGTATTTTTCTTCTGACAAGGTGACTGAAATAGTACACCATATTCCAAAAGATCTTACAATTACATTGTGCAATTTGAATACCTTCATTTAGTCTACACTTTTAACTCTATATCCTAACTTTGTTTGCCATTGGTATTACTTCTCCACATTGTCTACAGATGTAAAAGATGTGTAAGATTCAAGCACTTCATTTTCAGTTTCCTCAAGCTTACCCTTTTCCCATTTTACATTTCTGTTACCTGCATGTCATAGAAGACCTAACGGTCTATAATTAAGTGGTTTGGTTGTGTCGCCCTTTTAAGTGGATGAGTACACCAGCAAATTTCCAGTCAATGGGTATTCATCCTCAGGGACTGCATAGTGTGCTCAATCCTGCACATTTATACTTACCTGTGAAACCATGTGTTGGATTGTCACCACCACCACGTGTATTGAACTATTGTCAGCTCATTTGGTCTTCTGGGTACTGTGTTGTGTGATCATATTGTCTGACAAATTTCTGTGAGCTTCAAGACTCTGACTCTGCCTCTGTCTGTCTGGGCCTGTCCATTAGAGGGAGCCAGAAGCAGAGTTTAGGGTTTCAACTGCAGTACCTGAGCACACAGAATTAAGCCTGTTTTTGACTTGAGTTTGAGCTGTTCCCAATTGCACTAACTTACTCTCTTCCCTCAGCCTGAGGCATGTTGAGGAGTTCCTCCTTGGTCAAACGTTTTCACTTGTCTTCCCACTTAACCTTGTGTAGTGTTCTGCTCACGTGTTACATTGAAAACCAAGTACTCAAAGAGTGAATAAAACTAATCAAAAGCAAATGTTTTAAACTTAAACCTTTAAATGTCTAATGCAGTTCTCTGCAAGAACCACATTTCTGAGAGGTGTAGCAAAGCCTGCAATTTCTGGGAAAGATATTTAACTTTGCTACTCTTAAGACATACATGTGTACCTACAGAGAGCTCTGAAATAACCATCCCATCAACTGTTTCTAAGGATGAAAGGTTACATATTTCTAAGGACTTCCAAAAACCTTGTTTAGTTTACTCCATTAAAATTTTACAGGAGCGATCTGACTTGATTAATTTGAGTGCCACAGCAGACAGATACAGCTCTTTATTTAACTGATTTTAGAAAGTAATCTCTTAAATAGCTGTGCTTCAAGGAGAATAAAGAGTGCTTTTGAATTAAAGTAAAAAACATGATGAACACCGTTGGCAGCTACTCAAGAATTACTAATCTGTTTTTTTTTTGTCCCGAGAACAGTCTTCCTGACGTACAGGAATTGTGAAATTATAAATCGACATGTTACAGACATCAAAGTGTTGAAATGATTGCACATGTTCCTAAGTAAAAAGGGATAGAGGAACTTCACAAATGTATCTGAAGCTTCTGCCAAAATTCAGCTGTTTAATATTGTACATACAAGACCAACATGCAGATGAAAATGGTCTATAACAGATGTTTGTTTTCATTTTAAAAATGTGTGTTCCTGCACATCACAGGCGTTACAAACCCCTGGTCTCCAAGTGCCGCTGTGGTGCTCGTGATCATGCTCTCTCCACTTGAGAGTCTAACACGAGAACGACTACTGCACGGTTTCACTCCTGTTCCATCACAAAAAGAAAATACTCACAATCAAAGGAATAAAAAACTGACTTTATCGGTTTGTTTTTAACCAAAAAGGTTTAACAAGAACAAGAAACTGCTGGTGGATGGTAATTCAATCATGCTTGGCATGGAATGTGCAAAATACCTTATTCTATTGTTTTTAAGGCATTTTGGAAACAGACACGGATACTCGAGTCTAAGAAAATCATGGTCAAGGAAATTCCTGACCACACAGTTTTCAGAGTTAAAAAGATGCCATGGATCCAGCACTAGTGCTCGTACCAGCTAAATCTGCCTTTAAATTCCATATTTTGCCTTTAGTTCTTCGACTTTTTCAATATACTTCTTCATTGCGTCTTCTTTGCTCATTCCTAAGGGGCAAAAAGACAAAAGATCACAATAAACATGCAAGAATTTTTTTTTTAAAAACCCCGCTAAAGGCTCTTTTTGTGTTGTGAGCCACATCTTCCTCGTCAGCCCTCTCCCCAGAATGAAACGGCCCCTTTCGGAACGAGAGAGAGAAGTGTGTGACATTTTGTACGGACCTTTGTTGGCGTCCCAGGCGTCCCACTTGGCTTTTCCAGTGAAGTCTAACATTCCGGGGCGTTCTGCAAAACAAACCCGGCCCGTCAGCTCCTGCGGTTTTTGAACGGGACCTCGGCTACCGGGTCACGGGACGGAGCACACGCCCAGCAGTGACCCACCAAATCACAGCATCGCAAAAAAAAAGCCACACAGTGAAACACACCATAAACCGCAGTGCCCCTTTGGCAGGATGCAAGTGGACACAGAGGTCTTCCAGGAAGGGTTGCCAACTGCCAGCCTAATTATTTAGTAACCAGGTGCTCCCATTTCCAAGGCAGTGGGGCACAACTCTGGTCCTTTAATTTCTGCAGGGTTTTGTTCCACCCCTGCTTTTAATGACCTAATCATTAGCTAATTGAACCACTTTAACACGTTTCAATGGGCTTCAGCTGTTAATTATTTCAGGAGACCTAGAAAACGTGCTGGCCGCTGGCCCTAGAGGATTGGAGAAGGGCACTCCAGTGTAAAAAAAGGTTATGCTCCAATAGCTCGGGCCTACTCAGCCTTTGTGTTTCTGGGCCGTATATGTGCTGCTTTTTGTTACTGGCTGCAGCTGCCCAAACAAAAGATGGTGGCAATAGTGTCAGCGCTCAACTGCCAGCCCGGTGCTAAGGGTTAATTTAAAAGTTAATTACAACCCAGCTTTCACTACAATGCAAGTGTACAGAAGGCGGAGACAGCTGTGTGGCTCCAGTGAAACTACATACGCGTGTTGACGTCTCCCACGGTCGCCTGTTTGTAGAGACCGTAAATCTCCAGCACTTCTTTATCTGCGGGCTTCGTCTTCAAAATCTTCACCTCCTCCGCAGCCTTTTCAAAATCGGCCTGAAAAGGAATCGCAAACACGACACCTAAAAGTGACTTCACGGCAGGACCGAGTGGGAAGAGTCTTCTTCCACAGAGCCGTAGGAACACGTCTCGCCCTTTTCAGGTCGCACCGTATCACAACGGGAAATGAGAACAGGGCTTGGTAGGACTGAAAAAGCTTCGCATTCAAAGATTAGACGTGTTCATGCGGCTGCATACATCTGCTGACCACAAAGTATCTTGTTGTTTAAACTTTGCCTATTCTATTTGACAATAAGATTCCGTCTGTGCGCTCAATGCAGTCTGCTTAACGTCTGCGAGGTTCTGAAAGCCTTGCAATGCTCTGAGAGGATGCAAAATATTTCAGACTTTTAAATCAAAAACTAAAACGCGGGAGATTGTTTAGAAATCCAATAAAAATGCACCAGTTCCACTGTATTGTTGTCTCTTTCTCAGACTGCCTAATAAAACCGCGGCAGAGAAGTGAAAAACGGAGAATCCCAGAGATCCGTTATTTCGCGCAGTCTCCCTCGGCACAGCTGGCCTGATGAAAAGGTTGGGATCTGTCCCACTAGGAATCTGCTTTGGGTCTGAACTGCATGATCTTTGGCGTCACCATGGGACCTACAGGAGAGGAGGAAACAGATACTACCAACCCCTGTCTGTTCGCTTTTTCATCATTACAAATGAATTAAAGTATTATGAAGTATTCACGGTGGGCTGCGCACGTCTATCTCATCATCTTTACGAAACCCATTATATCCTATGAACTCAACCACGTCTTGAGTTAAGAATGTCCTGTTTTCAGATTAAGCGCCTACAAAACCGACGTGATTATTTAATATTACGTTTTTACTTTTAATTTTCCAAACGGTACCTCCTCATTATTGACTGCATTTTATTGCTTTAGAAGCAAAGATCAAGTTTTTGCCCTAAATGAATCATACAACGCACAGGATATATAATCATTTAAGAACCGCATGCTGTTCATCGGTCCTGAGTCACGAAAAGCGTGATAAGAAAAAGATACTATATATCTTTAAGGGCATCTTATCGCAAGAGTATGGCCGACATTTGCAATGAAACCCGAGGCCGCCGTGAAAAAAACTACAGAAGATCCACCACTCAACACAGATCAACAGCGAGGCTATATTTGTTGATAATTGTAAAACCCGGTGCAGAGGCGGTGTTTAAATAACGGAACAACAGGGAGTGGCGAGTGGACATTTGATCAGAGAACCAACCCATAAAATAAATAATGATGAGCTGCGACGTTTTAAGACATCTATCTTGAGAGTCATTTATTTAAACTATTTCATTATTTTCGTGTTAAACTAAGCCTGCCCCCTCAGGATTGGAAGGAAACACCATCGGTTATGCGCCGAAATAAAAGATCTGATTAAAAGGAGTTAACTCCTAGATTATGATTTATAAATCATTATTCGGGCACGTCTTCAATTTCTTCGATCTGCCAAGCGCAAAACACGTGGACCCGTCTACAAGTGTAACAGAGTGGCAGATGAAAACCCTTCTGATCCTGACGGCTGTACGAGCAACGCAGAGATGCCAGTTCCAAAATACACAAGTAGCTATTAAACACTGCATTTTCACAGTCTACGTCTAGTGAAATCTAGAGGCATTTTATTCTGGCAGGAAACCCGGCGAATAGTGTACGAAGGTCAGATTTTATTTTTTAACAGCAGGGGAAAGAGATGGCGTGCAAGCCCTCGTCTTCCTGCCAGCCCGTTACAGAAAGGCACAACTGCTCCACCAGCCCGTAAAGTACAGCCGTCAGCACAATGAACCCTTTCCAGCAGCGAGAGGAAGAAGAAAAAAAAGCCCCTCTCTCGTCCTTTCAGCGTTCAGCTGTCGGAGGAGTGAGGCGCAGACATAGATCTTTTTACCTGTGACATGATTTCTCTCAAAGTCGGAGGAGACCCTGGCTCTTCTTCTTCAACAGCGCTAGACACGGCCTCGTTACAACCGCTTCCGGCCTCCCAATGCTTGTGGAGTAGGTAGTCTACCGAGCCCAGCCCAGCCCACCTCTGCCCGTTCCCCTCATTGGTCTGCGTGGTTCCCCGGCGCTCGGCAGCCTGGGGTGAGCCGGATCGAGCCAATGGAGATCAGGCGAGAGAGGCAGAGCAGGGGCACACACGCACGGAGGTTACTGGGCTATGACTTCATCCTCTGTGCAAAGAATGGGGCGCTGTGTTGTAAGGGCTGTGTTTGTGTGTGTGTGTGAGAGAGAGAGACCCCACTATAGCTCTCCTCATGTGTTGCAGTTGTCTAAGAGACACCGAACAAAGCGAGACGCCGTGGGTCAGCAATGGGGCGCACGCCTGGAAGGCCACGCCCGGCTGTGTTGGGCTGAAACACCGCCCCTTTTGTTTTCTCTGTCTGTGGCGCGCCTGCTTACTCCCTGATTTAACAGAGCTGTAGTCTGTAAATGATGAGGACGGGTTTCTGAAAAACACGAAACTCATAGCACGCATAGCTGTCTATCGACGGTCGGACGTAGGGATCTTGCGGTGTTTGTCAGCGGCACTGCGTGAAAGGGAAACGGATATCTGAATTTTGACAGTGCTGCTGATAGTCATCTATGTCCCTTCCTCTATTCTGTAGATATATTTATTGCCTCCGGCTGGAAATTGCGTTCTGTATTCTTGAAATAATTCAACAGTCCGCTACCTGACCCAACAAGGTTTATTTTGGCCCCAAATAATATCTTAACACGGCACCGGTCTGTGGGCGGGTCTGAGGACTGACAGCGGTCTCTCCTGGGGTTTTCTGCAGCTAATTTCCTAATCACAGGGTCATTGATTTCATTTCTTTCTGTTTGGAACGTATTTGTCAATCTGCTTTCAACTCCTGGAAATCTGGGAGGGACTGTCTAGCCGATTAAACCTGAATCGAGGGGCTCGCGTTCATCTAGTTGACATATAGTACGAGTAACCTACTCGATCGATATTATTATTATTTCGAAAGTGAGATTTCACGTTATGAGGTGATGCATTTTTTAAAATCTAATTCCATATATGCTCTGGACTGTATACAGAACATCTGGATTTCTGCAATTTCTGTGCGACATTTTTATGGTTTTTATTTATTTTTTAAATACAAGGTGGAGAATACAACCAACAGGTGAATATACCCATATACAAACGTCACAACATGATTGCACAAAAGTAACATCACGTGAATGAAATAAAAGAAAAACGAATTTCCACAGTACCGAGGTTATGTGTTGTTAGGGGTTACATTAAATAAGTTTATACGCCAGAAGATTTTTGTAGACCAACTCACCAAGCTTATTTTTAAAAATGTTTAGTGAATTTGAGTATAGCTTAAGTGAGTTAGAGAATTCTTTAAAGCACATAGTAGAGTTTTTTAACTCTACACGAATGTATGTAAAATGTTGCTAACATTAGAATGACATTTACCATTATACGAACTTCTTTGTCTGGACTCGGAACACCCAGAACAAGATCCTTAAAAGTTAGATGTACACGAGTATTACTATGATTTAGCCATAGTAATACTCGTGAAGCCAGAAGGCTGTTGAATAATGACAGGAGAAGGACGTGTTCCGTTGGTTCAATATCTGATTCGCAAAAGGTACAGGTGTTGCAATCATAGTTTAACTGTTTTCGTAGATATTCTTAGAGCCTTTCATGCATTCATGAATATGTTATTCCGAATGTCCTTAGTATTTGGTAGCGTGGGGATAGTAATGTGTTCAGTTGTAGGTGAGATGAGAGAACTCTCGTCTACATCATTAAAAAATATTTTCTCCTTGGTGGCTGGGAAGAATCTCTGAACCATAATTGTACAGATGTACTTATTTAAAATACTGTAAGGACCAATTTTGATCTCCGGTAGTAGGGGAATTATATAACTGCATTGTGGATTTTTTTTTTACCAATGCCAGTAAAACACGTGGAATTGTATAAATAATTTATTTAAATTGCTTTGGGTTGCACTCAATGTCATATTTCTTAACAAAATCAAAATACTCATATCATTCTCTATTAGCTTCTAATAGACGCACAATCGACCAAATTGAGCTCGGCAGCACACGCGGGGTTTACATGATACAACCCCATTATGAACCCATTCCCCACGCGGGCGTATTTTCTGCACAGACTCGTTTAGCTTGGCAGAATGTACTGTATTTTAAAGAGCATTTTAAATTAATGCATGCACAGTTATATAGTCACAATCTGCTCATTTTACTGCTTTCTGAGTAAAAGGTGAATACGTGATTTTTGTTTTTACGGAAGGCTATATTGTCTGTTTTTGAAAATCTACTAACGTTGACTAAACCTGGGATCTTCACGTCCAGCTGTCGCAACGCTGAAACGGATTTCTTAAACCCTCTCATGCCACATCGGAGGTTGTGTCATATAAACCTCAACTGTGCCTTTTCCGTTTCCGACTAAACGCCACCATTTCCGAATTTGATTGCTCATGTCTGTGGGTGCAACTAGGAATTCGCACCGAGTTGGAAGAAAAGCCTGGAAGACGACCGGTTTAAGTAAAAATACTTTTGCTGATTATCCTCTTGACAGTTATAATCTGTTAACGGTGTTTCTTGTGTTAACATGACGCCAGCCACGTCACCAAAAACACGTTTGTGCAGAGAAAGCATGTTTTACAGAGAAAAATACACATTATTATATGGAGAATATGTTTTTTTAGGAATCGTTCATGTTGGCAATAACGTTACAAGTAAATGACGGTTTATTGCGATTTAAAAAAATGCAGATAATAATGCTGTGTATTGCTTGTTCGTGCCTTCGTTAGGAGCCGCCAATGTCTTGCGAGGAGGTAGTGCTAACCGTGCGCCTGGTGCGCTCCTTCGAGCACCGCAACTTCAAACCCGTCGTGTTTCGAAACGTGAACCTGAACCAGACGGTGAAAGAATTTATCGCTGCCGTGAAGGACGGTAAGACATGGCCTCAGTCCCCCACACGTCTGTGTCGCGGCTCTGGTGTAGTGCGTGTTGGTTTAAGGTGACGCATTTCTCTTAAAAACTACCGATTCTAATCTCTGTTTTCTATACCGCCCTGCAGATCGAAATACAGGGGGTAAATACGCCCATCAGTCCTGAAAGTCTTTGAACAGTCGTAGTTGGGTTAATCTGCTTTTGATATTTCAGTAGTGCCCCCAGGTCAAGCCTACGCGAAAGCCACCTCCTGCCATCTGTGCCCACTGTTAGAGACGCTGTTTTCTCTCAATACAGATGTCTCTGCGAGACCAGGGCTGCCTCCACCATTCAAAAAGTTCGAATACGGTAAGGTGATGGGTTTTTTTTGTAATGGTGTTTGTTGGTTTTTGGGGTGATGTTTTGGAGAGCTCGCCAAAACCGTGTTTCTTGCTCATTCCCCACCCGCCTTGCATTGTTACGGGTCAGTGGAGGAGCTGCTGATGGCTTCCTGTGAATGTGCTGTGCGGCTTCTTGGCAGCTACGTGTCCAAGGCCAGTTAAGGCCGTCATAGCTGTGCGGTGAGCCGGTAACACCGGGGAGGTCAAGGGCAGATGTACGCGTTGGTTTGACCTCTTTCAGTTATCCTGTGCGATGCGACAGATGAACAGATATTACGCGTGTGTGTGCGCGCCAGCTCTGCTTCGACCACAGAGTCAGACAGTTGTTTGCGATGTGAAATATTGTGAAATTTCCGAGCCGCCGCACTTGGGCTGTGCATGTCTTGTGTTGAACCTGTAGCTGCTTGTTAATCCCCGCTGAGTTTCCCTGTCCTTCTCCTCGCAGACACGATGAAGATAATTCACCAAGCGCACGGAGCTAAGGTGGGTGTTCTTCCTTTTAACCGCAGGGTAAAAAAAAAAACAAACCTTTTAAATGACAAGCGCGCAGAATCGTCACAAATGTAAAAAGTAAACACCTTATTTTTTTCTATATCGAGCTACGATTTCTGGTCTAAATATAGAGGCCCTACAGAAAGCATGTCCGGCATATTCAGCTCTTTACAGGCAGGCGTCTGAAGGAGGTCGGGGCGGACGCGGTGGAAGGACTGAATTTAATTGCGTCGCACACTGGGCTCCAGTTATCCTCGCTGTCAACTTGCATCATCTTCCTTGTTTGCTTTGTTGCGCCACAGCTGGACACACATCACTGATGCAATCTAGACAAGCCCAGTGCCCTGTAAACTTGCTGACTCAACAGCGGGGTCACCGTGACCCCGCCAGGCTCCAGGGCCGGGCAGAACACTCTTCTCCCAGGACCCGATCGGTGCTGGACGTGTAAGATCCTCTGTCAGCACCATGTCATCACAGAATGTTGTTCTTCTTTGCTTTGTTCTGTCAGGTCAGTGCTATAAAGTTCAGCGACAAGAGGCCCAGAGTCTGTGTTTTAAAGAGCTTAATTGAATCTTGCAATTCACGCTTTGCCTGGTGATTTACTGAAAGCTAAATGTATTTAGCAGTTATTTTATCGAGAGCAGCAGCATGCCAGTAATCATCAGGCCACAGGTGATCACAACACAACCCGCGCGGCGGTGGCGCTGTGAGGGACCGTAGAGCCCTCACCTGTACCGTTCCCTTTCAGACGAACGAGCTAGTGATGAGTTTGGAAGACGATGACAAACTGATCCTGAAGGACGACAGCACTTTGCAAGAGGCTGGAGTCGGTAGGACGCTTGTTTTAGAAAATCATGAGCCCAGTGAGACCAGCATTTGGAAAGTCTGTTGAAATTGGGATAGGAAGCAAAAAAAAATGCCACAAGAATGAAAATGTTTAGTAACAACCTCTTCAGCTTTCAGTTTGGTGCTTCTTCAGGGTGGTGAAAAAATTTTATTATATCAATTAGAGCAATTAAAAATGTATTTTTACCTGTGATGTCCTCTATAAAGGAAAAGAGAATAGCAGTTGTTGTTCTAGAGAGCACAGCGCTGAGCATTGCTGCCTCACAGTACTGAGGTCCTGGGTTCAGTTCCTGTGGTGCTGTCCATGTGGAGTTTGTATGTTCTCCCCAGGCTTGTGTGGGTTTCCTCCCACAGTCCAGTAGGTTAACTGGCTTGTGGGAAAATTGGCCCTGGTGCGAAAGAGTGTGCTCTGTGACGGACTGGGGTCCAATCCAAGGGTGTCCCCCCACCTTACACCCGTTGCTTGCTGGGATAGGATCCAGCACCCCTGTGACCCTGCATTGGATAAACCAGTTGGAAACTGGATGGATGGATTGTTATGGTCATATCTTATAGTAGCTCATCTAACATAGCAGGAGGACGCTGTCTCTTTTGCTACGAATGGAGGCAAACAGAATGACTCGTTTAAGGTTTTTCATTTTTACATTTTTAACTTAGCAAATGAAACGGAGTTAGCCTTCTTCCGGAACGAAGACTACGAAAAGTACAAAGCGGATCCAAAAACTGCCTGGTGATGGACTGAAGAAGCTTGTGTGGACATTAGCGAAGTAAGTCCCCCCTCACGTGCAGCAGCCAAGCCAACGGAGGATGAGAGGACGTCTGTTCTGCGCACTTGCCAAAGTTGAGAGTTGACTACAAACAAGGTGGACAAGGTCCTCTCTTCATTGTACATTTTGCACTTAATTTCCTCGACTCTGGTTTTTACCACTTGCCACAGATGTGTATTTCTTTAGTTATTAAAGTTTTATTTTTCAGAATATTATCAAGTTTTTCTTTTTTTTCCAGTTCAGACATGTGGGATATTTCCCTTGGTAGAACATTGGAAAAACTCTTACTTTTCCACACATTATGGAAAAAGCCCCAATACAGTGTATTATGTATATTAGCCATATCACCATATCAGCCCACTGAAGCTCAGCAGGTGTGAGCCTGGTCAGTACCTGGATGAGAGACCTCCTGGGAAAAACTAAGGTTGCTGCTGG